AATAAATTCAGGGGGTTCACCCAGATGCTTAAATAATGAATGATGCCATAGAATTAATTTACCTTTAATTACATTTTGAACATAGTGCAAGCACTGTACTTACCATCTCCAGGACTCGAGTCCGACTAACTGGTTTCCTTGACTCCCTTCGTATACCCTCTCTGCAAGACATTGTTTTGGTATCAAGTTGCTTGTGTTGTGCGACTGTGAAACAGGTTTAATGTTTGACCTCATTATCTATATAGGCAAAAAAGAAGATATTAAAAAACTTGTATAAATAGAAATCGAGACTCACGAAATCGTAATGACACGATTGCAAACAGACCATACCACGGGCGGGGATTGAACTCGTGGCGAGTGAGTCGTAAAACTCCAGGCCAGCGCGTAAGCCACTGGGCCAGCTGGCTACAATAAGATTCATCCAACTAGATATATTTATACACCATAGAGAGGTTAGTACAGGCTCCACTGTGACCACGAGTTCAATCTTCGCCCGTGGTATGGTTTAAATAGAAATCGTTGGTGGTGGTGTTAGGAAGAGGCCAGACAAATATGTTACTTAGTCATAGTGTCTTCACAGGTAACTGGTCTATTAGACTTTTAATTAGTGTTTATCTTAAGATGTGCATCAGAAGAAATTTTCAAATTTCTGTTTTTAAATAACACACCACCGCCGCCTCTTTTCTATACCAACAAGCCAGAAGTGCAGGAAAAAAAGAACTACTGTACAGAAGTTCCATGCTAAGTAATGTTTACATTCAGGTGACAGTATAAGCTTGATGTTGCACTTGTCACAAACATTCATGAAACCAGAGTTCATACTGAAGAAGTGAACAGACACACAAAATAGTTTTCACACTCATAGCAGTGATTTATTAAACCCAAAATGTGTTATTTGTAAAACAGTGCTGATATGCAGATTTATTTTGTTTATGTGTCCAAAAAAATCTGAAATGATATATAAATGTTTTACTCCCCACCTCCCTTCTCTACCTCACTAATTTATCAGTACTAAAACTAGGAGCACAGTTGCATCGCCAGATATGTGCAAATATGTTAATTCAAATGAGCCTCCAAATTACTTTGTCTTCATTTATCCTTTACTTTACATTTCCAGAACTCAGGTCTAGCTAATCGATTTTCTTGAATTCCTTCATAAGTATTACCTTGCTTGTACTCCAACAGCATGTCAAATATCATAAGAATTTGTCTCCACTTATTCAGTCTACCACATAAAGCTTGTATCACACCTTTTCAACCCACCCTGGGACATTTTCAACACCTACTTCAGATTTATTCACTCTCTTGGCAATCCTATCCTATACCATTATTTCTAAAAGTCTGCACACTGGAAAATAGCATTAACAAGCTGCTATTTACTAAAACGTGTGAGCCCAGCAACTGGCATATTGCCATTTCTTAGGAATCTTTATATCTTCACCTTTCAAAGATAGACGCCTGGCATATAGGAACTTGGCATTTTTGATGATTCTCCTCTGCCTTTTCCTCGTTCACTAACCCCTGAGAGGGAAAACGTGCTCTTCTTTGTAGTCTTCAGCATAGTTCATCAGGGCTTATTTTATCACCCTTATATTAAGGCTTCTTCGTTGTCTTTTTCAGGTCGCAAGTGCTAACTTCTTTATCAACACTTTCACAGCTTGACTCTACAGTACATTGTACTGCTGCCTAAAATCTCAGTTTTTTCATTCATATGTCAGCACATAGTTCAGCAGTAATTAACCTTCTAGCACTGTTACCCCTTGAGTAATCAAAACCATAATTACTCTTCAACCATTGGTAAATAATTGTGATATACTGTAATTATTGTAATAATAATGATAGTAAAAGTAGTTCATATAAAAATCATAATATAAAAATATCATTTAATAATAATAATAATAATAATAATAATAATAATAATAATAATAATAATGGTAATAGTAATAATAACAAAATAAAGTAGAGGTGATATATGATGACCTATGGAAAGGAAGGAAGGGGTATGCGTGTTTAAATTCTACAATTACTGTATATGTGTTAGAGTATAAAGTTGGATGTGAAAAGTGGAGAGAGATAGAGACAGAGTGTGTGTGTGTGTATGAGGGGGGAGATATTAAGTGAATTTTTAAGGCGTTTTCAACTGAGAGTCATTAAGCACTCTGGGGAATGAGGAGAATTAAGGTAATCAGACGTGAGGAAAGAGGTCAAATTCAATTTTTCAGACCTATATTCCTTCACCAGCACCAAGGCATCGCTTTTGAATCACTTTAGAAGTCACCTGCTCGGGCAAGACGCTTTATGCATATTGTAATAAAATTTTCAATTAAATGCAAATTGGCATATCAGTCAGACAACAGCAACAGCCTGGTTATCAGGCAGTCATCAGAAAAGCCTGGTTATCAGGCAGTTATCAGATAAGCTTGGTTATCAGGCAGTCATCAGAAAAGCCTGGTTATCAGTCTATCATCAGAAAAGCTTGGTCCCTGCCCAGGTTACAACGATAGACAGTGTCTTGGAACTGATCACAGATATCACATACAGTACTGTATAAATTTATTATCCATAAATAATGCAGTACATAATTACAAATATAATGAATTAGCTAAGGTTTGTTGTGTTTAGGTAATAAGTGGGAACAACGAAGAGATACTGTGCCATTTTACTCTGAATGACACTGTCCCAATTCTTATTATATCTAACACACTTTTATCAAAACTTTTCGTTTTATATAATGAAAATGACATTATATAATTATCCTGGTATTTACAGATTTTTTATATATACATTATATAAAAGTCGAAATTATGACATTCACCTCTGTTTTGTCTGCATATGAAAATTTGTCGTTTTAAGTCAATATTTTCCTTGTTGGTGCAGTTATTCACTAAATGGAATGTTTATATTGTCATATAATTTTGATGTTTAGGTCACCTGAACGTTGCTCCTCCCTTAACCCCCCACCACCTTCCCTTTCTACCTTTTCCCTTTCTCTTCCCCATATCTCACCCTCGAGGAAAACAGTTGCTGAGAAAGGTCTCTGACTGAGGAAGAAATATATTAATAATTTCTAATTCGTTACAGCTTCCGTTCATCTGGGAATTACCTGGTTTTTGATCAGTGCTTTTGAGACGTCATAACAATAAAGTTATGCAAATTCTTAGATAGGCTAGGTAAATTAATCTTCAGTAACTAGTATTTCTTTTAAATCAAGGTTAGTTTAAATTTGTAGGTTAGTATTGGTGCAAAATTAAATAGATGCATATTAATGGCTTGCATAGCTAGCTAACTGTTTTCCTTAAGGAAGGGAATCTTAAGGTTCTTCCTAACACTGAGTATATGACATAAAGTGTTATATTAGTAAGTGTTTCGACTGTTATTTATGACTTGTAAAATGGACATTAATTTAATCGATGTATTTATGGTTTTCATGTGTTCTTTTTTCTCTTCTCTTTTATACATGTGGTATTTGTTATGCTGTATAGGTATTTATGTAATGTATACTCAATTTCTCAATATAATCTTTATCTATGATGTATTTTAAGAATTATTTCTGCTCATACTATACTGATGATCAGTTTTTGGTCACATTATTGTGTCTGGTCATATACTAGAGTATCAGTATCGTGTTATTAAGCTTTCTGATAATACTGACAGTGGGAGACGGACACAGTGTTAAAAAAATGTTGATTCATTCATTTATTGATGCTGTTGAATGGTTCTTGATCCAAGGAATTGAACATACTTTCTCTCCATTGGATCAGATCTGAACCTCTCATTCCCTAGGTGCTGTATGGCTCTAAGGGTTTAGCACTTTTCTGTGAATGTGACAATAACATTAATTCATTTAATAAATAAATTTGGAAGTACTTTACTGTATTAGTAAATAATATTAAACTTTAACATTTTTGAACAGTGCAGTGGAATTCATGACTTCAGAGCAAAATAATTAATAACTTTGCTCTAAAATTTTGGCTTAACCTGAAGATTCTACAAGAATTCTTTTTAACCGATAGATTTGCAATCTTTCTTGACATTGAGAATTTCTGGAGTACGGTTTAATGGACTACTTACAATACATATACACACTGAACTATTTTCATGTGACTGCATCTCCAATTTGGGGTAATAAACCAATTTATACAGAGATCACTTCATCTCAGCTCCTTTAAAAACCGACTGAATTTTTTTTAGTTGACAGTAGCCTCGCACAACACCATTTCTTACAAAAGCAAAATGTAACATTTCGAAGAAAACGTAAGGTCAGTGAATTTATGATTGATATGTTTATGCTGCGGTGATGCGTCCAGTAATCTGTTAGGAGTGGCAGTAGGGAAGAGACATCGCGGTGTACACAATACTTTCGTTGGCTAGATCTCTACAAAAAAAGGAATTCTGCTCAGTGATGACAAATATTACTGAGGGAAATTGTAGCTTCAGAATGCTTTTCACAACGTAATAAATTGATCTGGATCCTAGTCTAATGGATTTTAGAAAAAAGATGGGTTAATATAATTAAAATTAATCTTTTCCACCCTCTGACTGGCAGTGGCATATAATTTTACGCTGCAAGAGCGTAGGAGAAGCTATTACAAATCAAATTATGCCTATTCGAGCCACAGGTTATTAAGCGACAAATACTTCTGTCTTTCAAGTTTCAAAGGTCTGAATTCCTGTTTCTGTAATATAAAAAAAATGCAGAATGCTATGTACTTCACTAGTAAATAATATGGAAACTAAACAAACAGATGTTTTAATTCTGAAGGGAAGAATTTTTATTCGGTAAGCAATGCCTACCTTACTTCTTTGGTATACACACCTCTGTGTATTACTCTTGTAATTTGTGCAATTATAATTTCTTCTCTCTGTGTTAGCCATAATCATACCATATTTGAGTCAGCTTAAATGTTTCCTTGTCTGTTCATGAATCATCACTCACATTGACCTTCATTATCTGCTTCTCTTTATCTTTCTTTATCTGACTTCATCATGTCCTTCCACAGGCACCAGGCGGTCTTCGCAGGCTTCACTACGGCTGGTCGTTGGAGAGGGTCGTGGAGAGCCAATTGGGTACTACGTGTGCATTAGGGACCCCGCCTCCGTTCACTCTAGAGGTCTGCATTAGATATCCCTCCAGAGCTTGGGTTTCTCTTTTCCTAAAATATATTCATTGGATATCCATTCCATTATTATATCACTGTATAGGATTCAGTATGTTCTGTTTTTTTTTTTGACATTCAAAATTTAATGCCAGGATTTTGAAATACGTTCAGTAATAAGGTAATAAAAGTGTTGTAATTAAATATGAGCAATTAAATTTTTTATAATTATTGAAAATTTTATTTATAATATATAAAGGGTATTTTACAGTGATCATCTTATTAATGGAATGGTTTTTCTATTGCAGACCTCTAGTTCATTCAGGTTAACATTTTGTTTACACTATACAGTATCTCACTTTTCTTTGAGGCTCCTTGGCTGAACTTAGTACCCCATACTGCTGTTGCACATTAGTTACCTAGCGAATAGAGTAGAAGCTCACTCTCCCCTGCCTCTTTGTACAGTAGTAGCTATTTCAATATAATGACAAAAGTAAGCAATCATTCAACAAAATACAATGAAAGAAAGTCATGGATATTATTTTTACTTACTGGATGGTGTAGTATACAAATGAAATTTGAAGTCTTGGCTATTGTCAGATAAGCTTAAATTAGTTTTGTAATTAGCTTTTGTACATGCAATGGCTTTTTGGAGCACATATTATTAGCACAGCTGACTTATTTTGATCTGTTCACTTCCTTGGTACGTGAATTTTTGCATAAATTCCAGATTTAAACTTTGACTATCTCTTGATGTTTTCACCAACTTTCATGACGTAGTGTAGATGACAGTAAATAATGGATTGCCCTAAAAACAAACCCTTTATTATTTCTCTGGGTTTCAATATACTTCATACAGTATTTATTTTTACCTTACAGGTGCAAGGATTTCACAGAGCATGCATTCGCGATGGACGCCCCAGTTTTCTTCGATGTGACTCTGCCAATTTCTTTTTCTCACACGGACTTATTCTTACATTTCCTTATTCTTCAGGAGGCTCCAGACGGCCTTCTCAGGCCTCAGTGGCATCAAGCTCTGGGGACCTTCGCGAAGGTCGTGTTCATCATTACTTATATATGAGGGCACCAAATTATTCCCTCAACTCGGAAACCAATACCACTACCACTGGTACCTCAGACTCTTCTCCAAGAACCCCCAAGAGTACTGAACAACTATTGGCCGTTTACCATTCTGTTCCTGAGGTAATTTACTTAATACTAAACATTTCGTATAGTAGAATAGGTCTTAAGGTTCTTTAAATTAACATGTGTTTAATCACATGAAAATTGGTTAAGTATCTAAAAGAAAACTTACAAGTCTGTTCTTAAGTGCTCCATAAAATAGGAATGTTACTATCATTACTGTATATTTATTTACTTAGATCACAACTTGGCATCAAAGCTACATTTTCACTAAGACAATTTGTGGCCAATATGGGTTTAAGGATTCCTATAAATAAAATAACTTAATTTCAGTGGGAATTTTTATGTTTTTTTTAATTCTATTCTACAGAAACAAATGAAAAAGCAGTTTTGGTGTAAAGGTTGAAAATTTTGTAATTAAATTTTTTTATTAATTTGTGTAATTTAGATTTACTTAATTGCACAGTAAGGTTGTTTATTAATTTATTACAAGAAACTTCTTGAAGCGCATCATAGAAGGCTTAGCCATTTAATAATATCAGTACTTGCGGTAGTGTTAAGAAACAAGAGGAGATAAGCAATCTTAAATATCATGGAATATCATACTGTCAGCCACACACACACACACACACACACACACACACACACACACACACACACACACACACACACACACACACACACACACACACAAACACACAAACACAAACCACAAACACACACACACACACACACAACACACACACACACACACACACACACAAACACCAACACACAAACAAAACACAAACAACACACACACACACACACACACACACACACAACACACACACACACACACACACACAACACACACACACACACACACACACACACCACACACACACACACACACACACACACACACACAAACACACACACACAAACACACACACACACACACACACACACACACACACCACACACACACACACACACACACACACACACACACACACACACACAAACACACACACACACACAAACACACACAACACACACACAAACACACAAACACACAAACACAAACACACACACACACACACACACACAACACAACACACACACACACACACACACACACACACACACACACACACACAACACACACACACACATACACACAAACACAACACCATACACACATACACACACACACACACACACACACACACACACACACACACACACACACACAAACACACACAACAAACACACACACACACACACACACACACACACACACACACACACATACACACATACACACGCACACACACACGCACACACACACGCACACACACACGCACACACACACGCACACACACACACGCACACACACCGCACACACACACACACACACACACACACACACACACACACACACACACAAACACACACACACACAAACACACACACACACACACACACACCACACACACACACACACACACACACACACACACACACACACAAACACACAAACACACAAAACACAAACACACACACACACACACAAACACAAACACACACACAAACACACACACAAACACACAAAAACACAACACACACAAACACACACAAAACACACACACACAACACACACACACACACACACACACACACACACACACACACACACACACACACACAGTCGTTCAAGACTCTGTATACCATTTACGTCAGGCCCATACTGGAGTATGCAGCACCAGTTTGGAATCCACACCTAGTCAAGCACGTCAAGAAATTAGAGAAAGTGCAAAGGTTTGCAACAAGACTAGTCCCAGAGCTACGGGGATTGTCCTACGAAGAAAGGTTGAGGGAAATCGGCCTGACGACACTGGAGGCCAGGAGGGTGAGGGGAGACATGATAACGACATATAAAATACTGTGCGGAATAGACAAGGTGGACAAAGACAGGATGTTCCAGAGATGGGACGCAGACACAAGAGGTCACAATTGGAAGTTGAAGACTCAAATGAATCAAAGGGATGTTAGGAAGTATTTCTTCAGTCATAGAGTAGTCAAGCCGTGGAATAGCCTAGAAAGTGAAGTAGTGGAGACAGGAACCATACATAGTTTTAAGGCGAGGTATGTTAAAGCTTATGGAGCAGGGAGAGAGAGGACCTAGTAGCAATCAGTGAAGAGGCGGGGCCAGGAGCTATGACTCGACCCCTGCAACCACAAATAGGTGAGTACAAATAGGTGAGTACACACACACACACACATGGAGTAAACCAAGAGGGAGGGTAGTAGAGGTGGATACAATGAAAGAGGGATATGGAGAGGACAGAGAAGTAATGTCAATAGCAAAGATGCTCTTTAAGGATAAAGAAGCCAAGGAGGTATTAAGAGAGAGATAACTAGGGAAATAGTGAAAACGAAGAAATCCAGAGAAAAAGACAAAGAGAGGAATAAAAAGGGAGCGCGTTGATGATCTACATACTCAAGGAGGCTGAAGAGGGGTCAGGAAAGAGATGAGATGCCAAGGAGAATGAGACCATATCGCATATTGGGTGCAGAGGAGAGGACATGATAGGACAGATGGGAAATGTTTAGAAAATCGAGAAGTTTTTCACAGCAAACAATGCTCGACCGAACTAACCTTTTGGTCAAATATCTTGGAACAAGATCCTAAGACAGAAAACACACCTGAAGACCATCGGTCACCCTAAATATCGTGATTATCACCGAGACAAAGCTGACTGTCATGATATCAGTTGCCACATTTCTAGCTTGGTATCAAGTAATCAGGAAAGACAGGAAACATGGGAGGTGGAGTGGCTCTGTTAATCAGAAATCAGTGGGTTTTGAAAAGGTGAGACGTATAATCAGACAAGAGGCAAGTGAATTCATAGTGGGCTAGGGTAAGACTGGGGAACCCAGAGTAGTAGTTGCATTGATTAACAACCCACCACCTTACAAGAGGAAACCGAAGTAGGACGTGAAAATACCAACAAAGCAATGGCTGACATCATAGCACAGCTAGGATTACATACAGGGCTACAGCAAAGCTACTTATGGGTGATAACAGCCACACAGAAATATAATTGGAGATTACCAGGAAAGGTAGAATCACTAGTTAATAATCTTGAGGTTAATGATGAGCTTGGGGAAAGCGATCACAAATCACTTAGTTTCAGTATATCATGGAATTACCCAGATAACTGCAATCAAGTCTCTATCCTAGACTTCCGCTTGGCCGACTCCATGGGACTGAGAAGTTACCTGGGTGGGCTGAATTGGGTTGACCTAACTATGGGTCAGGTAGGTGGTGTTGGTTGCCAATATGACGTATTTCAGAGCATAGTTTTAGCTGCCCAGATAATTTTTGTTCAGAGTAGGGAAATTAGATCTAACAAGAATGATCCCAAATGGATAAACAATAGATTAAAACATCTCATTGGTCACAAGAGAGGCATATATAGGCCTATCAAAAGAGGGGATGGGCAGTTAAGAAATCAGTATATTCAGTTAGAGAGATATAAAAAAAAGGAATAAGAAAAGCAAAAAGGGATTATTAGGCTAAAGTCACAAGGGATTCAAAGACTAACCCAAAAGGGTTCTTTCAGGTATACAGAAGTAAGATTAAAGGCAAGATTGGCCAACTTAAGAGTAACTCTGGTCAGATCACTGACAGTGATAAGGAAATGTGTGAACTTTTCAACACTTACTTCTTCTCAGTTTTTACTCAGGAAGATACTAGCGAAATTCCAGAAATAATAAATTATGTAAAACAGGTTGATAAACTTTGCACGATTGGGGTAACTAGTGACATGGTCCTCAGACAAATAGAGAAATTAAAAATTAACAAATCCCCAGGTCTTGATGAACTGTTTGCAAGGGTTTTAAAGGAATGTAAAGAGGAACTTAGCATATCTTTGGCTAATCTTTTCATTATATCACTACAAACTGGCATAGTGCCAGACAAGTGGAAAATGGCAAATGTAATACCTATTTACAAGGCAGGTGACAGGTCCTTAGCTTCGAATTGTAGACCTATAAGCCTTACCTCCATAGTGGGAAAATTTATGGAATCAATAATTGCCGAGGCAATTCGTATCCATCTTGAAAGACATAAATTGATTACCGAATCTCAACACGGTTTTACAAAGGGGCGCTCATGTCTTACGAATTTACTAACCTTTTTCACTAAGATATTTGAGGAGGTTGATTATGGTATTGAATATGATATTGTGTATATGGTCTTCAGTAAGACTTTCGATAGAGTTCCACATCAGAGGCTGTTGAGGAAACTTAAGGCACACGGAATAGGAGGAGAAATTTTTTCCTGGGTAGAGGCATGGTTGACAAATAGGCAGAAGAGAGTTTGCATAAATGGGGAGAAATCAGCATGGGACCACGTCACAAGCAGTGTTCCTCAGGGGTCAGTGTTGGGCCCCTTGTTGTTCACAGTTTACATAAACGACATAGATGAGGGAATATAAAGCGACATAAGCAAATTTGCTGATGACACCAAAATAGGCCGTCCAATCCATTCTAATGAGGACATTAGAGCACTCCAGGATGATTTGAATAGGCTGATGCAGTGGTCGGAGAAGTGGCAGATGCAGTTTAATATAGACAAATGCAAAGTTCTAAATGTTGGACAGGAAAATAACCACGCCACGTATAAACTAAATAATGTAGATCTTATTATTACTGATTGCAAAAAGGATTTAGGAGTTGTGGTTAGCAGTAATCTGAAACCAAGACAACAGTGCATAAGTGGTCGCAGTAAAGCTAACAGAATCCTTGGTTTCATATCAAGAAGTATAAATAATAGAAGCCCTCAGGTTGTTCTTCAACTCTGTATATCTTTGGTTATGCCTCATTTAGATTATGCTGCACAGCTCTGGTCACTGTATTACAGTATCAGGTATCTTCCCTATGAGGATAGACTGAGGGCCCTGAATCTGCACTCTCTAGAAAGACGTAGAATTAATGGGGATATGATTGAGGTGTATAAATGGAAAACAGGAATAAATAAAGGGGAGGTAAATAGCGTGCTAAAAATATCT